CCAAGCAATGGCGTAATCCCAGCCCATGGCGAAACCCCTGGTGTGGATGTTAGAAAGGAGACGAATAGCAAAGTCGTGTGAATGGACTCACCAGGAAGGATCGACAAATCGGCAGACGTATGTGTAGAAGGCACCGTTGACGGGGTACAAGACAGCCATCTCAGCGAGGGCTTGAGTAGTAAGCATCAACATGAAGCCGACAATCATATAACCGATAATCTGTTAGTCTTGTCGTCAGTCTTGACCTTCCAATGCGTTGTCGAGGACTTCTTACCAAGGCAGCAGGGCCGCCACTTCGAAGAGCACCGCCAGAACCGACGAAAAGACCAGCACCAATGGCACCGCCTATAGTAGTAAAGAGTCAGCAAAACTGCGAGGGCTTGGAAAGAATAGTAGACTATAGAGAGACTTACCGATGGCGATCATCTGCATGTGTCTGTTCTTCAGGTTCCGTTGGAGGGGCTCGCCCTTTGTGACAACTCCAACCTCCTCATCGCGAGATCCCTCGTAGCTACCATTGCTGTTCACCACAGGGTCCTTGGCGTAGTGCTTGTCGTCATCGACGACGGCAGGTTGGTGGTGCGACATGTTGGCGACTGATACCAAGTGAGTCTGGCTCCTCGAACTCGTTGTTGGGTTTGGAAAGGAACGAGGTAACGAGGAATGCAACCTATACCGTGAGGATTGGCGCCAAGAGGCCCTGGTATATATACACACAGGATAGCAAGACAGGCTTGGTATTCTTCAGTTTGATGGCTAGGTATCAGCGTTGGATGCCGCGCACTCTGTCTCTTCCCCTGGCCCAGCTTGAGTGCAACAGAAGTGTACCAGTGCCATGGGGTCAGGACTCTGGCCTACCAGTCCCCGGCAACGCCGTCCTCCTAGTCCCGTTCTTCCGCATGGATGGCAGGTCGTATGTGAGGCCTAGACCCTAGACATCTCGGAGGAGGTGGACAGGACAAGCTTTCACCGACGATAAGACAGTTGCCCCCAACGGTACTAGAGCCAAAGCAGATTGGTTCACGACCCTCGATATGCGAGCGAGCCTGGGGGTGGTCCCATTGTCACCCGGCACGGCATGCGTATTGCTGGACAAGGGTAAGCCCATTCGTCTTAGCCTGGTTTTCGGGCGAAGCTTACACCAATTAGTACTCCGTACGTGAGGTTGAATCGACAGATATCGTCTTGATTGGCTCGAGTGAGTTTGATATCTTGGCTTTCTCGGCGATACTCCAGGGTCAATCATTCCCCCGGCGGGCCTCCCCAGCTTCCTGAGACCAGCCATCCCTTGTCCAACACCCCTGCACAAGTGTGATAAGCTGGGTGCGAATTGCAGTGGTACAGATAAGGAAGGTAAGCAGAAGGTTGTCCTGAGGTATATGAAAGCTTCAAGCCCAAGGCTCAAGGGTAGCATGCCTCCTCAGCAAGCTTTGGTTCTGTGTTTGGGTTTTCGTTCCTGGATCTTTTGTCGTGCCTAGTTGTCATCTCGTTGGCGCTTCTTTGGTGTTCCAAATAGTCAATGACATTATTCATTTGACTTCGCGTGTAGCGACTGCCGTCGTCGTGGCTTCAAAAAGGCAGTGCTATTGGCTTCGGCCTCTAGGCAACAAGTAGTTAGACACTCCGAGGAAGCGCGAAGAGCATCTCTGGTCGTAAAGTCTTAAGTCCTAAGGCACGCGATCTTCGTACGCCAACAGACGAACGGCCGAGTAAAAGGTTGCATGGCGCCGCCACTATCTGGCAAATAATTGCCGCATTCCTTCGTCAGGCTCATTTTGTTCTAGAAGACTGTCCCATTTGGACCCGGACAGATGACTGACCAAACGCCCCGGTTCATTGGACAGCAGGTGAGGCGTAGTGTCCCCCCCTCCCCCCCCCGATGCGAACGGGTATGGCGCCATGATCTGACTCGGGGCGCAACTAGTAATCGTAATTCTCGTCCCCGTCGCAATCTCAAATAATCATTGACAGCATAGAATATGTGTTATCGCGATGGGATGGGCAGCCCTCTCGGTGTCGAGAGGTGGCAAGAAGTGATCCGACAGGATGGAAATTGAGGTGATCATCGCCTGAAGTTCTTGGTCCCTTGGACGCCGAGAAAAATCAAGCTTTGGCTGCAACTGAGTTTAAAGATATCATTGGCTAGCTTAAGGCCAAGCATTTGAGGGCATCTCTTGGAGTCTTGGTAGTCCTAGCTTCTTGACCACCCGCACTTCCTCTCCATCGCCCCGCCCCCATTCTGCTGCAGCACTTTTGTTCGAAATCGCGTCCAGACGATCCGGTAAAGCGTGCGATTTTTGGCCTTGGTGCAGGTGACCGATACTGCATCTGGGAGGACCGTTCCCGCGAAGGATGATGCCTTCTTCCTGAAGAGGAATGTGTCATTTTGTTACCGAACCGTCGATTGCCTCTCGGTTACTCTGCCCGTACTGCGTGGTGTAAATCGAGTCTCCGTGGGGATCTGGGGTAGTCGCCTTCATTTCGCTCTCTGCAGCCACCTCCAGGCATCCCCCTAGAAGTCGTGTTCGCGTGGCCCCCCCTCGTCCCAAATTGAAACAAGGGCGATGGAACACTTGATCTTTGCACAAACTTGGCAGCTTTGGTGTGAAAGTGCCTATTATGTTGTTTCGCTCGTCAATCGTGGTTGGCCGCACCTGGGTGCTGTAATCATCAAGCGAAGCGCTCGTATCTTGCTTATCCGTTTCTACCACCTATCATATCGGATCACGGATACGTTCAGAGTGTTATCAGCTCTACCCCCTGGTGTCGCAGTGGCCGGACTCGCCGAGAAGATGGAAATGGTGCGCAACCCCGCGTCAGACGACAATCTTCTACGCGTTCTCTGTGCAGCTATCGGGCGTCCTAAGGCGCCAAGGTCGCCAAGGTCGCCCGAAGATGCTTCCCGTGGTGCCATGCAGCTCAGAGCTGTCACCTTCAGCTCCAGCCCCAACCTGTGATCGTTCTCATGCAATAGAAGCCATCCCGGTGCCAATCTGGACTTTCTGTAGGCCAAAATCATTCTAGCGCTCTTCTAGCTTCCATCAGGCCGGCGGTTGTGTTCCTATTGGCGGATGTTGGATGATAGCTGCTGCCATGTGATCTTGCAGCTCCCGTCGAACGATCCGCAGCATGAAGCTTTGCACGTATCCGTAGCTACCCATCGTGAGGGCTGAGATACATCCTAGGCAATCATCAGCTCACCGTCGCCAAGGGCGCAAAAGTCACGCCGTCTAGCTTAGGTAGGCTAGGGGCCTTGACCTGTCCCTGCTGGTACATGGCTAACCAGACTGCATCATCATTGACTGCTTCTAAGGCTTGACGTGCTTCAGCGTTCTGGCTAAGTGCTTCGCTCAAAAGACCGAGCACTTCGTCGAATATCTCGGCGTCAAGACGGACATGTGAAACGACAGCTGTCAACATGCGAATGACAGAATCCCAGATCTGCGCAGATTGAGCGAATTTGCCCAAGCCGCCTGATACCGAGCCCTTCGTTATCTCTGTGGATTGATAGCTTAGCCCATCGCTTCCTGTCATGACGGGAATGACGATTCCCTGACTCGTAGTCGCGGCGGTCTTGCCTCGCCTAGTACTCTCTCGGTGCGTACTTCCCTTGCCTCGAGACTGGATAGCCTCTAGCTTTTTCTTTCGACACCACTTTCCCAGCCCGTCCCACCACTCTGTCTTGATTCTGGAGGCTAGAAAGTCTCCGGCGGTGGCGGAGAGCGCACAGAGGGCATCGCAGGCTGAAATGGTGACAAACGCCTCCTCGTCGTAGAGCCGGGTGATGGTGACCGGCCACACAGCATTGATCAGCGGCAAAAACGAGTCTTCATCGCCTGAAAGAGCTGGAGATACGGTGGCCAGTAGATCGAGTAACGACTTTCGCAATTTGGGACTTGGTGAGGTAAGATAGTGTTGGGTCAAGCCGGTGATTTTCTCCAGCAGGGTATACGTTGGCGTCTTGGGTGGTTTCTCCTTTTCGACTTCATTGTTCGCAGCATCCTCGTCGGTTTCCTCTTCCACGCCATTTTTGGATTTCTGGTCCTTCTCACCCCAAGAATTTTGTGGATGACCATCCGTCGAGTTGTTGACATCGTCGATCGAGGCTTCAGTCTCTCTTTCCTGGCGTCTCTTCAATAAACTGACAATGTCGTCAATTGTAACGTGACTGCCAGCGGCTTTCTTGTGGCTTTCTGGTCCATTTTGTCGGCCCTCCAAAAGAAGTTTATCAGACTTTACACCCTGCTCCACAACTTCTTTGAGCACTGCAAACAGACTTTCGACAAATACTGGGTACCCATGGTAGTTGTCTAAGGCTGCGAAAATGGAAGCCACGACATCGTCGAGGTACGGCAGCAGCCGCGACCCGGTTAGGCGAGTGATCATCACCAACACCTTTGTGGATGCTGGCGAGATATCGAAAGTATTGAGTCGCAGCGAAATTGAGTTGATCATGTAGTCGACGTTCTCAATAATCAGTTCGGAAACGCTCGTATACCCGCATGATACAGCTAGAACGTTCAAAGTCGTGATTGCATGCTCCCTTAATTGTGAGCTCGCAGAGCCAAGGAAGGCCGTCGTCGGATACAGCACGTCAATGAGTTCTGGTCTGAAAGCTTCGCCTGATCGAGATGCTGCAAAGGCGGTTACTTCAAGTGCTGTGGCCTCTAGCCTCCAATCGATTTCGGTTAGTTCGGAGTGCGAATCGAGCAAAACAACGGCAAATGAATATAGTTCCTGGAAGGTAGATTCGGGGTCTTCGCCCCCAGAGCCCAGGGAGGAGAAGTCCAGGAGATCATCGAGCTCGTTAGAACGGTAAAAGGCAGTCTTGAGGAGTTCGAAGCTCAGCCAAAAAGAGGCTATCTGAGCATCTCCCACCGAGTCCCTAGCGTGGTCTAGCATTTCGGCAGCAAGCTTGGTCTGTTGCGAAGCGGGTCCAACGTTGGAGAGCAGGTCGATCATGGCTGACCTCGTTTCAACCTGACTCTCTTCGCCCAACAAGACAGTGGGATATTGCTTAGAGATATCTCCTGCTCTCACAATGTCTTGATTGTACCATGAGGCATCCGGCGTTGTTTCGTCCACGATCTTGCTAGGCTTCGCTCCAGTTACAAGAGACGTAACACTGTCCCTCAGAGCCGCGGCTATTGACTCGTCCAGAAGTGAGGAATCCAGCTGAAGGCTACTGACAAGAGCCATGCCTTTCATCAGGTTTCGAACGGCGGCCTGTTTCTTGCTTTCGTCGGCAGACTGCATGATTCTGGGCAAGCTGGTGATCCAGTTGTAACAAGTGACCTTCACGGTCTCGCCAATTTCAGGATAGATGATGGCCAAATCCTGCAGACTTGTACCGGTCAAGGATGTCGTTGGATGTGTTGGCGAGATGGCCATTGCCGTCTCCACCAATACGGAGGAGCAATTTTCGAGGGAGGTATGGCATTCGTCGAGAAGTCCAAGGCAGAGGGCTAGCAGCGCCTCACGTACGTCTAAATTATCGCTTGTTCGGAGTTTCAAAACTGTTGCCAAAGCCAGCTTGATCTGTGATTTTGTCGCGTTGAGCCATGATGGGCTCAGTACCACCCCTTGTTCGGCCTCCAGGGGAGTGTCTGAATTTGGTCTTGCGGTGATGCTCCGGGTTCTGACGTCGCCAAGAACTTTTACTAGGACCATTCCGAACGACTGGATAGACCCAACCAAGACGCGCGTCTTCTCTCTTTGGGGCTTGGCAAGAAGTTTTGTCAGGCTAGAGACGATACCAGGGAGGAATGACGCAAGGGCGGCATGATCCTTGATGCTTGTGTAGAAGCAGCTAAGGGTACGCAGAGCCTCGAGCTGTATAGCCGACGTTCTTCCATCCGCTGCACATCCCAGGAGTACCGCGATGGTATGGCCCAGAGTTGGCACCAATTTCTCCTCGGTCAGAGCTGTTGTTGCTGTGCTGGACGTCCCAGCCACAGTGATCAGAGCAGTCAATGCTCTAAGCGATTCAAGCTCGGTTTCCTCGGGCAAATCGTGCCCCCCCTCTCTGCCAGGAACTCCTCCAACGATGAACGTGAGAAGTATCAGGAGCTGCTGCAAGATCTGGGGCGAGATGTTGGACTTCCAACCGTGAATAATGATAACGGTTAGACACTTGATGGCAAGCTCGATTAGGCGCTTGGGGTACTGATCGTGACAGCGGAAGACATGAGAAAGCGGAAAGAAGACGTAGTCGGCAAGCTTTGAGTCCAGAACGGTAGCATCTCTATTTACTTGGTCGTTCAGAATGTGGTACAACTCGTCCGTTAACTCAGAGAGCTTTTTGAAGGAAGACGAATCTCCTTGTTGCCGGATTGCAAGCTGACTAATCGAGACACAGCATGGTTTGAGCTGATGCGAACTGGTCAGTATATGATTGATACATCCCAAGGTATACGGACCTGCTGGAAGAACTCATTCCGGGCTGGATTCGCGTTGGCGGGATTGGTTGCCATTACGAGGCAGAAGGTGGGGATTCCAAGCCAGCCAGCGGCGCGTGACTTCGCAGTGGAAACGTATCTGATCTAGTACAATTTATCGCCGGGGCTTGTGAGGATCTGTTCCACGTCAAACAAAGAGAAGGTTGTGACAATTCGCGCGGTTAGTGGTAGTTGAAGATGGAAGCTCTGTCGTTCAGGTGCGAAACTTCGACTCAGGAAACACCTGCCTGAGAAGACAATCCTAAAGATTGACAGTAGAGTAAGGTACCTTAAGGTAAGGTAGGCCCAATCGGGTGGCTTCCTTTCAACAACCCTCGGTGATGAGCTCCACTAACAGCCGACTGTTCAGGGCCTTTGGAGATTTTGGCTCGCTAAGGAAGGTGGCAGCCCCGCAACAGCTACCCCCGCCGAAGCGCTTTCCCTCCACTAGGTTACGTCAATTTCAATTCTTGCGAGAAAGGAAAGAAAGTGCATCTCGAGACTCTCAGAAACTCTGATAAGCAGGAACGAACGATAGAGTTTTTTTGCAAATTGTTGTCATCTTGTCAGATACGGCTCCAATAACTCACCATGGTCCTGGCTCCTTTCTCTTGCACGGTGCATCCTTTCGATTCCCGAACCTCTCACTCCAGCGCTTATGAAATCGGCCCATCTGGAGCATCAAATGCCCTCCTCTTCATAGGAGGTCTCGCCGATGGTCCTCATACCGTTGGATACACTAAGGCTATAGCCAAGCATCTTGAGACGGCGGCACAAGACTGGTCTGTATTTGAGATTCGGATGAGGAGCTCCTTTTCTGGCTACGGCTTCTCAAGCTTGAAGAACGACGTTGAGGACATCTCGGCTCTGGTGAGGTATCTCCGAGGTATCGGAAAGAAGAAGATTGTCCTGATGGGCCACTCAACTGGATGCCAGGTACGTTGTTGCAGTAGTCTCGAGTCGTTACGAGACTCAGCTAAACTTGATAGGACTGTATGGAGTACACAAAGCATAAGGAGGACCCTGTTGATGGCTTCATCATGCAAGGCCCTGCATCCGACAGGGAGTCTATTGAGGACTTTGTCAAACCTGACTGGTTGAAGGGGAGCCTAGAGCACGCTGAGAAGCTGATTCTTGATGGAAAAGAGGGCGAAGCGATGCCCAAAGATCTGGTGCCAAGCTTCTTCTCAACACCCATGACGGCCTACCGTTGGCATTCTTTGGCAGCTAAGGGGTGAGTGACCATAATGTTCGATTTATGAAATAAGGTGAACAGAACGCTAATCTTCAACATAGGGGCGATGATGATTACTTTTCATCCGACCTCGAAGAGTCGTTTGTCTCCGAGGTCTGGAATCGTTTCCAGCAGCCCGTCATGGTCCTACACTCTGCAGAAGATGAGTTCGTGCCAGCCAAGATCGACAAGCAAGCTCTGATAGACTCGTGGAGAAAGACAAACTCCAAAGTCAACGAGCTATCTGGCTTGATTCCAGGAGCAAGCCACACTGTGAAGAACCCATCATCCCAGCAGTGGCTAGCAGAGCGTGTGGCTCAGTTCATCCAGCAAGTATGAAGGTAGACTCGGGACGGACCGCATGAGCTTAGGCATCTAGCTGAAAGGGACATTTGTCTTCACTCATAGCCCAACAAATTTTATAAGCGACATTCTGGAGATGGAATCGAAGACATTGCACAGGATTACTAAAGCAGCACTGGTCTAAGCTTGGTCATAAGGTTCCAAAGTAGGTAGGCATTTGAACAATGGAAGCCCGAGTTGACAGCACCCCGCTTCCCCGGAATAGGGAGCGAGGTCGGCGATAACCCCTCCGAGACCCACTTCATCGGGGTCACTGGCCCGTGACGATGCTCAATGCAGGTCGCCGACCCCAGGTAGGTGGATTATGCTATCACGGACACCGCGAATACTTAATCCCAGGTGACTTCATAGACCAGCCCTTATCACATTGGTCAACATCCAGAAAGACTATCTCAAACATCGTCTTGACTTCAAGCTTCGTATCAACCCATACACCTACACACACACTGTCGCCTCTTGAACTTGATACCCTCACCGGCACCTCTCTTTCAACACACCCTTTATTACTTTCGCCCACAATGTGCTTCGGAGTCACCTGCTCGACTTGCTGTAAGACGGTTAAACCAGCCCCACCACAATTATCAAATCATTGAAAACTAATGGCATCCAATAGCAAAGGCAACCTGGCGCGGCTGCGGCCAACACATCCCGTCGGCGCTGAGCAGCGTCCCCGAGGACCAGTGGTGCACCTGCACGCCAAAGGTCACCGTCAACGGCAAGGAGTATCCCCCGGCAGGCACTGTGTCGATCCCCGGTATGTCTTGGTTGACCGGTTTGTTCGGGGGCAATTCGAATGACAAGTCGAAGCAGGGCACTAAGGGAGAGCTGTGAAAGATGGGAGAACCTACACTTTGTTTTTGAGGCTTGCTTTGGCGGGGGGGTGAACCTGGTGTACTAGTACGAGTTGACAATTGGCGAGGCGTTGAGGGTGGTGCGTGGGATGAACGGCGGCGGCGGCGTAGAAAACATGAGTCGAAATCAAGGATATGACCCCGTACCAAGTTCCGGCTTCATGAGAACATGAGGCCCTCCCAAGTCCCAACTCATCCAGATCGAGCCTTTCAGCACCGGCTGTCAAGTTATGGAGGGGTAATCGGTGTTGTTGCCCTGCCCCTCACGGTCTCATTTGGGGTCCCTCAGTGGGTTATCCTTACCTGAGCCCCCGTTCTCGGGCTAAAGCACCCTATCGGCGCCGGCGCTTGACTGGTCATTTACGAATCGAAACCCTCTGATTGACCAACGCTATCGGGGCCCGGGACGGAGCTGATAAGAGGTACCGCCGTCGCTCATGATTCAAGCCTACTTCCACACGTCTACCTCATCCTATCACTTTCCCAGAGCAACGACGGCTTCATTGTATAAGAGTAACAGGTCTAAAAATGTTGCTTCTTTCTCCCGTCTTCTTAGGAGCAACGTTTGCTGTCCTTGTTTCAGTATATCTCATTCGCTGCATCTTGTCACCGTTGTGGAAAGTTCCCGGCCCGAGGATAACTGCCTTTACTTCCCTTCTTCTGAAATGGCATGAGCTGCAAGCAACGAGGACAAAGTACATCCATGCGCTTCACCAGCAGTATGGCCCAGTTATCCGGATTGCACCAAGCGAAGTCTCGTTTACATCGTATGAAGCCGTCAAGGAGATCTACTGCTCCGGGGGCAGCGGCTATGACAAGACGGAGTTTTATGACTTGTTCAAAGTCTATGGACGGAGGTATGAGTTAGGAAACCTACCTTGAGGCCTGGAATCAACAAAAGCTTACAAGACCAGGACCATGTTTACAACACTGAATAAGGAAGATGTAGGGCCCCGGAAGAGCCTTGAGTTTGGGCTAGAAACGTGACTTACCACATGTTCCAGCACGCGAAGCGCAAGAGAATCATTGCGGACCGGTACGCAAACAGTAACGTCCTGCGACCTGTGCCCCTAGGCGGAATCCAGGAGAGGTCGCAAAAGTTTATCAACTTGTGCGAGAAGTCAGTGGGCAAGAGCCACGACATATTCGTACGTAGACCCTGTTCCCAACACTCTCCATGCGGCTTCCTGACTGCTCTCACAGATGAGCCTTCACTCCTACGCCTGTGATTGCGTTACACACCACTTGTTCCATCCGTACGGCAGTAACTGCCTCGAGAACGAGGCGGACGAGGAAATGATGCACCAGGTCGCCGCTGACGACAGCCTGCAAAGTGAGTACACAGGTCGGGCGGATATCTCGCCGTGAGCGAAGCTACTGAAGGGCATATCAAGTAGACTAACCGGTCCTCAACAACACAGATCGCCTCGTTCAGCACTACAGTCCCGCGCTGCACAAGCTCCTCTCGAGATTTCTGTACTTCTTCGCCAAGCCCCGCGAGACGCCCCTCGCAGACACCTTTGTCATCGAGTCCAGCAAGAAGCCCGACCCGGCCGCCTTCACGCTGCTTAGCCGGCTGCACGACAAGGCCGGCCAGGGGCTGGACCAGCTCGACATGGCGGGCGAATGCCTCGACCACATGGCGGCCGGCATCGACACGACGGGCGACGGGCTGTGCTTCCTTTTGTGGGAGCTCTCGCAGCCGCGGTCCCTGCGGTTCCAGGAAACGCTACGCCGCGAGCTGCGGGAGAACGCCGGGGTCGCATTCGACAAGTTGCCGTTTCTCGATGCCATTGTGCGGGAAGGGTTGCGGTGCTTTCCTGCCATCCCCATGTCTTTGCCGCGTTATGTGCCCCAGGGCGGGCGGGTGATTGATGGGTATGCAATCCCCGGGAAGACTATCGTCAGCTGCCAAGCGTATTCCATCCACCGCATCAATGAAGAAATCTTCCCGGAGCCGGATTTGTTCGACCCTGATCGGTGGATGGAGCCAACGGGCGACGCGGAGAGGAAGCGGCTAATGTTTGCGTTTGCCAACGGAGGTCGAGGATGTGTTGGCAAGCAGTGAGTACCTCCATATTCCAGAGGCAAGATTCCATTTGTTAACAAGGCACCATTACCAGTCTGGCGCTCGCCGAGATGAAGACTCTTTTGACGGACATTTACACCCGTTACACGACGCTTCCTGAGACGTCAATGACGGAAGAGTCGATGGCCATGTCGGACCAACTCATCTCCTCGCGACCTCTAGGACAAAAATGTTTGCTACAGTTTGTTCCCGTTGGCGAGAAGCGGGAATGATGGGTTTTCGAGGTGGAGGAACGGGAAGGTGTCAAAGTTGTATAGTGTGTGTTGCATTTAGCGCGAATCATGGATGGCATATCGTATCTGGGCGTTTCTGCCGGTGTTTGATCATTCCGGAACTGGAGCACGAGTAGGTACCGTGTGTGGCATCTGGGGGTCTGGGGCAGGAATGCTGAATCAGTAAAAGACAACGTGCCTCGACAAACGAGACAGCTTGGCAGATGTGGTTGAACGGACATGGTACGCCGTAGAGGGCCAATACCAAGTCAAAATCATGCCAAAAAAGATTTCGTGGTGATTCGGTTCGTTGCTGTGAGGCGTGCCTGTGTGGCCCTGCTTGGGGAAACCACACACGTTTACGTGGACAAGCCAGGCTTTCCGCTGCCAACTGCCCTGCTTTTGAATACCAAGCTTGGCTCAACGCGTTCAGTCGAGAGATGACTTGCATGGCAATGACTGGCTCGGCTTTGGTAGCCGGCGTTAGGCGAGGCGAGGCGAGCGAAAAGGAATGGCGGACAGCAGGCTGCATGCTGCAGAGACGGGACTAGGGAGGTCCACCTGATGGCGAAACGGTAATTCCTGTTCCCCATGCTGCTACTACGTTGGGTATTCTTTTATTGTCGCTTATTTTTAGTTTTACCTACCGATATGTGCCTTTGCTGCCCCCGGATCCTTTAGAAAGCTTCCCTCCTTGCCTTTCCGCACAATTGCGGTGCGAATTGCGCTTTCATGAAAGCGGGAAAGGCCATTGATTGGCCCGTGCCCGGCGCGGAGCTGTCGCGGTTTCCCCCCTTCCAAATGCCAATGGAACTTAGGGAACGGCGCCAGGCTTTTAGGCTTTCCCCCCCTTTGCTGTCTCATGTATTGCCTGATGAAGGCAGAAGGTGTTGGAATACTCGTCAGAGAAACAAACGACTTGTGAAACACATAAGAGCGTGGAGAGAGCACAGAAAGAGGGTAAGATGGTTTGGCCTCTCGTTGTTGCGCCGATGCCTCGTGGGTATTTGAATGTCTCCTTTGGGTATCGTAATGGGGGACGACACAAAGCACAGGAGCGAACAATGAACATTGAGGCCAAAGAAAGGCCGGGAAACGTGCAAGGCAGCAAGTGGAACTGGCTGCCATGCCCGGCTGCGTGTTGCATCCTGGACACAGGACTGGTCCGGTGGTGGCGCCGCGGGGAAGGTCAAGGACGACCTCAAACTCGGATTTAAGGCTCGCTCGCTGTTCTCGCTGTCTGACAGAGCGGCTCCAGGGGGGGGGGGGGGGGGGGTTCTTTGAGTGGTGGCGCGACTCTGACAGGCACGAGGCAAGGGCCAGCCAGCCCGCCAGACTTCCCGCCCCCAGCACCCAAACCTCGGGTGCTGTTTGGGGGAGGGGGGAGGGGGGAGGGCGCCTTATTAGTGAACGAGGTGCTGTTGCGGCAGTGAACTGGTGGGCAAGCGCCCATCAATTAGGTCCACTTTATTCTTTCCAAGGATCTTTATTTTAATTTCTAGGTACTTCTTTCAGGTACTTTTTCATGTGTTTCCGAACTTCCTGTCCTGCCGCCGCCGCCACCACCACCCTCCGACTCACTCCACTCCACCTCAGCCTTTTCCAAAACTCTGCGCTCACTGCCCAGTCATCTCCGTTTTCTCCTCTTCCCACCCACAAGAAAAAAAAAACGCACAAAACCCTCCGCTCGGAGATCCATCGAGCACATCTCGCAATTATCTTAAACCCACCTTTTCGCAATCGCAGTTCACCGCCCTGCTTAGGCATCTCTGCATCCTCGCGTCCTCCGCGGTAAAATCTTCCCAAGCATACAAAACCTCATCCCTCCTCCACCCCTCTCCTGAGAACGTTGCCACTTTCCACACTACACCCCGCCATAACAACACAGTATCGTCAACATCGCCAGCAGCCTCCTCTCTCGCCGCGTTCCCGACCACCGAGTCTTCTTCCGCGAGAGTTGAACATACAACACCACCCTTACGCGGTACACGCCACATAGCAGTTTATGTATCAGCACGACAACACCACCGTCTTCAGACACTTCGTCCCCAAGCTGCAATCATTTCGCATAGCGAAACCTTGTAGCCCCAACATCAGTTCCGTTGGCTGAAATCCCCGAACCCAGAGGAGTTCATGAATTCTCGACAGCAAAGACGATCTAGTCTCGCTTTACCCTATGTTCATCAAAAGAACCCCTGAGCATTGAGTCCGCCTTCTTGCTCCCCTACCAGCTTCCTCGCCAATCCGTCGATCCTATACCAACACGACCCCCGGCTTCTTCATGCTACCAGCCCGCCTAACCGACAGCATTACCAGCTTCGCATCCCGGGCCCTTAACTTCCAGATCCAAACTACCTCCTAAATCCAAAATACTCTTCCAAGACTCTTCTTCAGTCCACCTACTACCAATACCGCAATCATGGCTTCCCTCATCAACGTTCGTCGCGACGTCAAGGACGCTTTCTATCGCTACAAGATGGAAAAGATTGTCACCAAGATTGAGGGCAAGGGCAACGGTATCAAGACCGTTGTCGTCAACTTGAGCAGTGTCGCTCAATCTCTCGCCCGTCCCGGTGCCTATGTCATCAAGTACTTCGGCTTCGAGCTCGGTGCCCAGACCAACGTTGACCCCGCTGACGACCGCTGGATTATCAACGGGTCGCACAACGCCGCTAAGCTGCAAGACCACCTTGATGGCTTCATCAACCGTTTCGTTCTCTGCAAGAAGTGCAAGAACCCCGAGACCGACGTCAACATCAAGGATGGTCGCATCCTCCTCGACTGCAAGGCCTGTGGCCAACGGTCCGAGGTCGACCTCCGTCTGAAGCTTAGCGGTTACATCCTGAAGAACCAGCCGAAGAAGGGCAAGAAGGACAAGGCTGAGCGCAAGGCTGCCCGCCGCGCGAAGGCCAACGGTACCAAGGAGAATGGAGGAAGCGGAAGCGGCGGAGAAGGATCTGAAAACGGCTCCAACGATGCCGACGACCAGGATGTTGGTAGTGATGACGAGTTGGAGAAGATGAAGAAGGAGGCTCCCGAGATTGACCAGTTTGAGACCCAGGAGCACGAGTGGGCCGTTGATATGAGCGAGGAGGCCGTCAAGGCTCGCCAGGCTCAGCTCCCCGGCGAATTCAAGCAGAAGCTCAACATGGGCGATGACGAGGACGAAGATGGTGAGGCCTCCGGCAGCACCGTCTACGACGAGTTTGGCACCTGGATCCAGGATGAGGCCACTGCTAAGGGCAGCATCGAAAAGGTCGACTCGATCGACATCTTTGTCAAGGCCAAGGAGCTTGGTATCGAGACCAAGCACCGTTCCGTCCTGGTTCTGGTTCAGACCATCTTTGACGAGAACATTCTCGCTCAGGTCCCCAAGCGCGCCGGCATGATGAAGCAGGTATGTTCACATCGTATGGACCAATGACTCATAAACCCCCTTGACTAACTTGTCCCTTTAGTTCGTCACCTCTGAGCGCCACGAGAAGGCCCTCCTCGGTGGTACAGAGCGCCTCATCGGCCAGCTCGCCAAGGAGCACTCCGACATCTTTGACAAGGTTGTCAAGATCCTCCAGCTGTACTACAACCACGATCTCCTCAGCGAGGAGGTCGCCGTCAAGTGGGGCAGCAAGGCCAGCAAGAAGTACACCGATCTGTCCACCTCCAAGAAGGTCCGCAAGGCCGCCGAGCCCTTCATCAAGTGGCTCGAGGAGGCCTCGGAGGAGGAGTCGAGCGAGGAGGAGGATTAAATGCAGGAGTATCTGACAGAAGAAATCGGGAAGCAATGTCGGCATCTCGGTATGCCCGGCGTTCACTTTGATTCGCATGTCTTGTCTAACAGCATTGTCACAACAGTCCGCTCGTTTTCTTCACCCTCGACTCTCGTCTCCATTCATCGACTGAGCGTTTCCGTTAACCCGGAACATCCCTCGTCGGTGGATAGGATGTCAAAGTACTTAGGTAGCACACATCTTGTAGACTGCAGCAATGGCAAATTATCCACTCTCGCTCTATGACCGGCACGAGTGTTTCAATGTTTGTGATCTATCTATGTCGGATTCTGGTGCCAACCGGTTTGTCCTTCCGCCGACATAGAACTTGGATGAAAGCTGCAACGTCCCGCGCGCCTCCGTGCGGGTAAAAAGTCTAGTAGTAAAACTCAATGTCTCCTCCGCCCACAACTCCCATCGAATAATGCAATCGCCAAAGTCCATAACCTCCCATGCTTGGGAACCCCCCTCCCCAAAGATGCAGAACACCGAGATCTCTCGGCCTCCCAAAAAATTTCAAGCAGCTGCTGTCTAATGTCTTTCTCCAGTCGATTCCACTTCTCTTGGCTACGGTATTCTTCACACGCTCCCCATGAAGTCGGCTTCGCCAAAACCACCTCTACCATTGATCTGCCGCGCCACCTGTCGATTGCGCCAAAGTCGCGTCTCCCCAAGGAGGGATGTTGGCATCCCAGGCGCCTGGCATACTCTTGCTGCTGCTCGAGGCCTTGCTCATCTCGGTCGCCGTCGGGCCATAGTTGACTTCACCACTTGTGGTCTCGGGGCCCCATCCGGCGCCGCGGCCAGCCGAAACCCACTGATCGGTCTTCTCCTTACTTCTCGAGCTCTTCTTTGACGATTGGGAGTTGTGAGGGCTGTTTTTGGCCGTTGGGCCGGCATTATTGTCTGTCGTCCAGGCTGAGTTGCTGGCAGTCCCCCACGCGTCGCCCTTGAATGCATTCTTTGAGCTTTCCTTGCCCCCGTTGCTTTTATTGGACGAGTTACCGACGGGACTGTTGGTCGAAGGCCCAGCGTTGTTGTCCCAGCTGGCATTGGTTGAGGGCGGCGGCGGCGAAGTCTTCTTCGACTTATTCAAGGTATTCGACACCTTACGTTCCGATCCTGAGTAGCCAACATTGTTTCCCTGGCCATCCCAGTCCACAGCAGGCTTGGCTTGACCGCTGGCACTCCGGTTGCTCCCATTACCATTTTGATTCTTGTTTGACTTCTTGGAGCCAGAATGGTTCGATCCAGTTCCCCAGTTGTTGCTGTAGTCGCCTCCAGAGTTGGCCCAGGCATCGGCCGACTGGTCGTTGGAGGCTCCCCATCCATCTTTGCTCATGGCTGCGGTGTTGTTGTTGTTATTACTGTCGGTGTTGTCCCAAGTGGAACCATTAGTCGTTGTCCAGCCATCGCCACCAGAAGTTGTCTGGGCGTCGTTGCTCTGAGTGTTGCCGGATGTCCCCCAAGTATCATTGGCCTGGCCAGTTTTCGTGCTGTTCCACCCACTGTTGCTTCCGCTGGGCCCAGTCGCTCCCCAAGAATCATTGTTCGCATCCCCGATCTTGTTCCAGCCTGAATTACTGCCCTTGTTGCTTCCCTTGTTGCCCCCCTGGCTCTTCGTGGGAGTGTTGCCCCAAGCAAGATCTGGATGCTGGCCACTGCCCAAGGGTTGCCAGTCTGTGCTCTTCTTCGATCCCCAGGAGTTTTTGCTTCCATTCTGCGATCCGTTCTTGTTCGGAGTAGACTTTTTGCTGAGGTCGCTAGCAAAAGCAGCCCACGGGGTATTTGGATTCACCGTCAAATTGATGTTGATAGGGGAAGCAGGAGCCACGTTGTTAGGGCTCGCTACCTTTGCCAGGGGCGAAGGAGCCTTGCTTTGTTGAGGACCGACATTGGTATCCCATCCTTGTTCTTTATTCTTGGCACCTGTCGATGCCGCATCTGCTGGAATGGCTCCCGACATAACAGGCTTTGGAGAGAGAACTTTGGGAGACATGGGACCCCACCACGAGGGCATCTGCATCCCCATCTGCATCGGGTCGACTGGCGCCATGACTGGCGGTCCTTCGGGCATACAAGTGACTGGAATAGAGCCCCAGGGAGAGTGGCCCTTGAAGTGATTATCTCCGGGGTTTGTAGGATTAGCGAAGCCGTGGAAATAGGGGTTCTGCAGGGGATGGGGAACACCCATCGGCAAAGGAGCGTTGTTCGGGTCGCGAGCAGGATATAGCAAGCCGTAGGGGTTACCGTAGGCTGGGCCATGATAGACTCGGACAACACCGTGCTGAGGGTCGTGGAAAGCATTGGGTCGAGGATCTTCGACGCCCTCAATGGTATGCTCAACTTGGACGACCTCCGCGCGGATGGGCATAATGAGATTGGGACGGCGTAGGTGAGGAGACAGCGCAGCCTCGGGCATTACTTTCTGAGGCTTCTCGAGCTTCTTGGTCTCATTCGCCTTCGCTCCTCCATGCTTGTTCCGAACTTTCTTGACTGTAGGGCCGACGTTGTTGGGTTCGGTGTCGGCTAGGGCAGCGCTCTCCTTGGTCTTGGACGATTTTTTGACACCGTCCTTCGTCTTTTCTTGCGTCTTCTTCTTCTTGGGAGGTGCCGGCGTCTCCTCTTCACTCTCCTCTGTCTCACTTTCGGACGAAGAATCTGCTACCTTCTTCTTCTTGGCGGCCTTGTCGCTTTTCTTCTTCTTCGACTTGGCCTCCGATTCAGACTCAGATGTGTCGTCTGCCTTATTCGACTTCTTCTTGTCTGCTTGCTTCGTGATTAGCTGGATGTTTATCGTATGAGAGGCTGGTATTTGTTAACACGGTGAATCTCGGAATTACCTTTGGACTCGGCTTCTGACTCCGCAGCCTTCAGCGCAGACTTCGCTGCGGCCTTCTCAAAACGGACCTTCTTGGACCCGGAGCCCGAAGAGTCCTTGCTGCGATTGGCGCGCGGGTAGGTGATCTTGACAGTGTCCTCCTCGGATTCGTCGTCAGTGGAAATCTCGACGCAGATCCGCTGTCTGCTGCAGGACTTCTTCCGCCTGCGCCGCTCAATAGAGTTGCAGTATTCCTCAACGCTGACGCCAAGTGCCCACTCGCATAGGGTAGAACTGCGGACGCTGCGCGTCATGTTGGAGGTTGACTACCGAGATGCTGTCAGTGGGAGGTTCTGTACTGCGAATGCAGTTCGGTCGTCGACAGTCGCGAACAACTTCCTTCTTGGCTGCTTCCAGCAATAACTCTCGTAGAGAGCTTTCAAGAAGAGAAATCACGGAGTTCGGTTGGCATTTCTGCATTGGTGGACTAACTGGAGGCGAAAGGGTGTGGAGGCCAAGGCGGTAGGTGAAGCCAGGTCAAAGTAATTACCTCGCTCGGGTTGAGAAGGAACCGCCTGATTTTCGTACCTGCCAAAGGTGAAATATTCGGTATCAATGGCCACTGGACTTGAGGAAGGCTCCATCGTTTACAGGAGCACATCCCACAGCAAGCAACAAAAAAAAGCTCCAATTTTTGTTTGACATCATAATCTCAATTTCATAGTCATTAAACTCCCTGGCGCACTCGGTCAAACCTCATCGGCTATCTGACAGCTGCAGTAGGCGGTTCAGTGGTATCACTTTACTTTTTCACTCATGAAGAAGTTTCCAGGCAAATATGATGTCTCGAAAACATTCTGATGGGGTTTGCAATCTACTTAGGTTCGGAATGAGGCACCTAGCCACTTTCAAGCCATCGCGAAATGGCCCCAGGGATAGACTTATTGGCCTACATCCAAACCACGTCTCGAAAGCTGTCTCCGACTCTGAATTCAACCACAACCTTGGCGGCGTGGGCAAGAGCATTCTATGGCCTGTCGACATAGGAAATCATTGGCTTCATCCTCCTCTCCCATTCATCCCATTCATCCCAGTCTGATATCCACATCATCCTCGGGCGAATGACCAAAACACCTCCTCAAAGCAGAAAGATGACCTGTTCTAAAGAGCGTTTTGATATCTTGTCAGTAGTCATAAATTTGCCATGGATTGCGTAGCTTACCTGTCGACCTGAGGACCAATGACGAATTAGAGGGGTCTAAATGGCAAAGTGCCGGAAGGTAAGAATCATCTACTATGGTCAGCAATGGGTACCTCCTCAATTCTTTGGAAGACTCACGAGAACATCTTCTCCGCTTCACTGTTTCCCCCGATATCATCCAATTTATCCCGCTCTTGGGTTGATTTCGCTTGGACTGTCAGCAACTCATCTTTTTTCCCCTTCCAGTTGAGGTGACATACCGTTCATGCCGAAGCACCTCAGTTGGGCAAACGGACGGCGTAGAAGTAGCCCTCGTTGGTTACATACCAACGGCAATCGCCAAGGTTGTCAATAGTAAAACGATTGCGCTGGGTCCAATTACCGTCAACCTCTCGAACGGGATAGTAGCGGGATGGGTCATCGTCCGCAGGCTTGAAGTCCTGGGGTTCGAAGAGGCCGTTGGAATAGGCAAAGTGTGCCTGCTCCATGGCGACCTCTCCGGCAGTCTTGCCATATCCAGTGACGTCCGGAGGAAGATTGGTATTACCTGGGAAGACGGGCATTCCACCTCCGCCCAGATTGGGAGGCATGTTCATGCCCATGTGGGCACCCTGGAGCATGGGAGGGCTGCTGACTCCGGCGGGAGGAGCCTGAAGCATAATCTGAGGCTGTATGCCCATGCCTGGGTGCATAGCAGGCTGCTGAGCCATGATGATGGGAGGCTGAGGGGGAGCCTGACCAATGTAGGTGACGTTGTGGGCAGGAGGCGGCTGCTACAATCTGAAGTCAGCAAATTGTTTCTCGTAACTTTGGGTGAACTCAGCGAGATGAAAACGAGATGGTGAAGTGAAGCAAAGAAATCTAGGTGCCCGATGAATCACATAAGCCGCTCGGCCAAGGAAGTGCTGGGGACTTGCATAATAATGAACAAGAACAAGAGGCGCGCCAAGCAGAACTGGAGCAGGCTTTGGGGCAACGAAAGAGACCACTGGCAAAACCTGAACATGAGGGAGACCGACATGATAGACAGGAGGCATTCCATTGTCGAAGCGAGGCACGTAAACGTGCTGCATGGGGCCGTAGGTGGTATCGGGGACCGGCGGCTGGAAGTGAAGACCACCAGCGGGCGGAGCGACGTTCTGGTAGTCGGCCATGTTGACGTAGGGAGGCGCGGAAAGTCCGTACGGGTTGAATTTGCCGAAAGGCGCGAATGAGTTGGTCTCGGTGATGTAGGCAGGGTGCGAGGTGGAGGGTATGAAAGGGTTGAAGTGTGGGTGAGCAGCCTGACCGAAAGGTGCAGGAGGGAAGTGATGGCTAAGATGGACTGAGGCAGAAGGATTGGTTGAGGTGTGGACGAAAACACCGCCGTCTGCACCCGCGTCGCTTTCGTGGGTGTCAAAGGCAGGAGCGGTCGAGTTGTCGGTTCCCTGGGTAACGGGGAAGGAGACACCTGGGTTGCTGCCGTCCTCCTTGAAGCGCACCTGCCGCGGGCCGGTGGTGTTGGCAGCCGACTTGCTCTTGGGAGACTTCATGGCGGATTTGCTGGACTCGTTTAAACATTAAAGTCGACGCCGAATCTTTGTTTCTCGAGTATCGAGGTCGTGTTTGTTTCGATTGGTTTTTCGAAGTCGGAAATCCAGGGGTAGAGACCAAATGCCATGGGATAAAGCTCCTTTGTGGGTGAGGAGATTTGATGAGCTGGCACTGCTCACTTCATCACAGAATTGGTGAAAGATGAAGTTGATGAAAGGATGTGAAGAAGAAGAGATCTGAAGAGTGGTCCAAGGCGAGAACTCATTCTGATGTCTTCACTCAGCCGCATGAAGATCCACTGCGGCTTGAGATGTCTATGCGGCTTGAAGACTTGATGTACCGATGGACCGCTCCAGTGAGGTCTTGGTTGGCTCTTTGTCTCTGAGGCCGAGGGAGGGCAATAGGGGGCAGGTCATTGCAAGATCTCCCGTGTCTTCACTGGGAAAATGGCGCCAACCAATAGCCAATGTTGGGATGCCAGGAAGGGGGTAGAAAGCGAAGAGTATTCAAGAGACGGTTTACTTACAACATCGACAGCGTATCTCTGGCCATCCCATCCGAAGCGATAAACAATTGGCGGATCCTCGTTATCGTAATGTGCCTTCGAGAAAGGCCAACATCCACACATTTTGGCGATACCTGGAAGACAGCTGGGAGACGAAATGCAGAAAGGAATAAGATTGCGGTGGTGTTGGTCGACCGTTCAAGTCCGAGTAAGGTGATGTAGGAGTAAAAGGTGAAGCCAGTCGGGAGTGGGGTTTGAAGCAACGTTTGATATTGGCAGGACCGCTCTGGAGTCCATTTCTAGGTACCTGAACTACCAATGACGCCTGGGATGGTGATTTCTGTTCATCACTCTGGGCCTTGGTATGCCTTAATACAGGAACAAGCCTGTATCGTCTCTGAAATAGACACCAGGTCACAGAAGATGCAACGCGGCATATCTTCAAGATTATCAGGTTATTAACGCGAGCATCATTACGATGATAAAACAACCGGAACGCAGATGCCCAATTGGCCAAGGCATGCGAACATCCAATTCCGAAGCTGGCTAATACTCGTGCCAACACGTAGCTAGGCTACCGTGCATGAGACAAAAAGAACAATGCGCGGAGTCCATCAGAGAAAATCCTCCTAGTCGTTATCACCGAGATCGCCGTCAAAGGAAGCTTCCAAGAGTCTGTCAATGTCATAGCCTCCTGCCAGAACAGGGTTGCTGTATGGAGCGTATACTGTTGCAGGCAAACGCTGGCCTATCAGCTGCAAGATTCCGCGTAGTTGCTTGATCAACTTGCGCTGCCACCGCTGCTGAATCGTTAATGCTAAATTGACAACCCAGAACGCGGTCTGTCTGACTTACCTTCACGATGGCAACAGTGTTTCCTTCTGGTTTTCCAACTTTCTTCATTGCGTCAAAAGTTTCTTTGTCGCAAAGGTCCTGCGAGGCCTTCCAGTTTGCTACAATGTCAACATTTTGCTATGCGTCGACCGTCACGTAAGCCCACTCATCGTCCATTGTGTCAAGATTGTTGAACCAAGTCTGGTATGTCCTGGCGAGGGCGATTCTTGGAGGGGCGGGCTCGGGTTCGATGAAGTCGTCAATTCTTTCAAGATAGGTTTGCTTAATGTTCTCCACGCCACCGCTCTTCTTGTTCGTAACCTTGTAGTGATACTCAGACATTGTCTCGATAAAATCTTTGTAGTCGGTCCACACTGGCCAAGACGACTTCTGGAGGATCGACTCGCCATTACCGTCGAGATAAATCAAGAACACGCCAAAGAACTGGTTGGCGATTAGAGGAGAAGTACTCAAGCGGAACATTTTCGCCCGGGAAACCTCTTGGATCTAAGGGATGGAAGTCAGCGGGTTTATTTACACTAAGGTCAGCAGACGTGTTTGACCTTTTTCCTCAAAGAGAGATGCGATGTCCGCTTGTCGTTCTCAAGGCCATTGAGCTCGCTGAGAGGACTTGGACCTTCGGCACCATCATCGCTGCGAGCTTGATCGTCCATCTCGTCCATCTCCCGAGACAGACATTCGTGCAAGGCCAACAGCCCATCATGCGACAACGACCGTATCGTCTGTTGGAGTTCGTGGTCACGGGTGCTGAGGAATTCGGAAAGATAGCCTGTTTCTCTAGGTAGTGGCGACGAGGTATCGTAGGAGAGAAAGTGTTGTCCACCGACATCGTTGTAGACATGAACTCCTATTGATACCGGGTCGCATGTAGAGTGGTCGAGAAACTTCGATCTAGCTCGTATGTTGTCCAGCTCGAGATCGATCAAGCTTGTCGCGAGTTGCCGAATCGCTGTGGAGATATCCATCTTCAACAATTGTCGCCGTAATTGAAAGTGAAGAATGATTCCGCGTTGAGGGTGCTACGAGAGTTTCAGTGAAGTGAACCAAATAGAAATGACATGTTGTCTGCTGCTACCCCATGCCAATGTTGTTCTCCACTACATTGTTGGGCTTGCGAGGAAAGGCAATCGGTAGCCTGGATAGAGCCTGGTAGTCAGATGCTGCTCAGGACGTCCCTTCCATTGCCATTAAGCCGGCAGGCCAATCCAAAATAGCAACACCCATCTGGGATACTTGAACGTAGAAGAAACGTGTGATGTTGTTCTTTTTTGACAGGTACCGAACGCCCACTTCCACCCAGTGATGCGGTCTTCTAATGCTCCTTCCTAAATACTGTACACGGGTCCACAGGAGGAGAGATCGTCCGTCACAATGCCCAAGACTCCTCTAAGGCGCTCTAAATTTCCTACTCAAACAACAGATAGAAGAGGCTCGCAATGGCGAGCATCATCGTCCACAGATCCAATGTGATCCATGGGCATAATGAATAATCATTATTGGCGGGGTTCAACGGGGACAATTCGTCAGGTTATGTCGTAAATTACAAGGTGGCATGTTCGGAAGTAATAGGCTCGGGGGCAGAGAAGAAAGTGCTGCGGACAACCTGCGAAAGTGATTAGATATGCAAGGTCAATAAACTTCTGAAGACGGCAACTTACAGCCCAGGCACCGGCCACGGAGGCCACAACACCACCAGAAATCAACATGGGCCGCACACCCCTCGTGCTCTTGAAAATCATTCCACTAAACAAGCCAGCCAAGATCGTGTTGGCTGAGTCGTGCTTTCCTCTGAAGTAGCCGATACCCGCGCTGAAGAAGTTGTAGGTAATGGCAACGACACCGGCGGAGTTTCCCAGGAAGGGGCCGCGGCGGGTGACGGCGTTAAGCACAGAGTTGAGTCGCAGCTTCGGCGGCTGGTTGGCAGATCTCCTCAGACCCTCTTGCAGTCCCCAGGCTCCTCCTATCGACAAGGCTGCCAAGTATGTGACTCCAGTTCCGTAGCAAAGGTCATCCGTGAAGCCTCGGGAGGGGAGGGCAGACTGGCCAGGGACATCCGCCAGAGCCGCATCTTCGAGGGAAAGATATTCGAGTGTGTCCTTGTTCAGTCCAGATAGGGGGTGTAGTTGCGCGGGGTCGGCAAAGGATGAGCTCTGAAGAAAAGACTCGACGCCAGATCCTGCTGAAGGGTCGAACTGTGCTGGGGTGTTCTGGAAGGTGGTTGTGGGTTCGGGGGCCGGTGAAGACTGAGAGGCACCAGCGTCCTTCTGAGAGGACTTGCGACCAGATAGAGTATCCCAAAGCGACGACATGGCGAAGGTTGTGGACGTGGCGGATAGATGAAGCCGGGGATCGGAGTTGGACAGTGGACAGGAGATGTGGGCTTGCAGGCCGATGATGGAAGCTGTCGAAAAAATTTGGGCAGACCAATCGCGACTTGGCCCGTGCGTTCGAAATGCGGTAGAAAGTGACGGATGCAGTTGCATTGGCACTTTCAGACGGACCCCACTTATCCGGCCATCTTTCGGAAAGCTCGAGTTGAGATTCTCCGGCTTACCTCATCGTAGCAGTTCCTTTAAGCTCTTGCAATGAGTCAGCAGTCAAGGAAGCTCAAGAACCAGAGCTAGGTAGCACGTTATCTTACATAATCCTACAAACTTCTTCTCCCCCCGAAGCTGGAGCACCTGGGGAGAATTGTGCTGGCATAAAAAGGCTCCACTCAAGACCAGGCAACGACCTGGACAGCCGCCCAAGACAGTGTTTCCAGAATTAGACGGGCAACAACGACATGTCATCCCAGTTGCTGCTAGGACAAATAGTATCTGCAGTTTCGTTTGGCTCAGCCCCTTGGGTAGTACCGTTGGTTGCTTCTTTCCGAACCAAACCTTGGTAAACTACATCCGTATAGCAGAGTCTGATTGGATCCTTTGGAGAGCAAAACTCTGCAGGATCAGTCTCAGATCTAACTCACCGCCGCTCGATTTCTTTCTTGCTATGAGGCCTAAATTTGAGCCATGCTGTGGGCTTCAAGACGAGCCGAAGGACTTCCTGTGGTACGGCGATGGGACAGTAGTACCGGACAGGAGCTGGCAAAGCAGCCTGCCTGTTATGCAAGTTGCCGACGAGAAGCCGTTGTGACTCGTCTGGCGGCGCAAACATGCAGGAACTTCATTTATGTGTCACTTGGAAACGGTAACAGAAGAGGTAGTGCCTTGCTGCGCCGCCTTGGGGTCGATTGAAGTAATGAAGATGGAGGTTGGTTGTTGATTGCCTGCTCCTTCGGGTAACACAGTTACTCAAGAGCTGTCCTCGTCTTTGATTGAGCACACTATATAAGTGACCTATTTATTGCCTTCCCTTTTGTCATTCTTCTTCGTTGCTGGAATCACTTATTTGCTCCTCGCGTTATAATCAGATCTCGGAATCGAAAAGATCTTCATTTACATAGAAGCACGACACTTACACTGTATACGAAGCAGAGCCTTAAGCCCCGAAGATGCTTAACCTCATCAGCATGGGCGTTTGGGCCCTTCAGGTTTGTGACAAGACACTCGCCCCAATCAGTCAGCTCTGCAAAGTTAGATGATCTAACACTGCGCTTTCCATAGGGGATCATGGCCATTGTTGTCCTCGGCCTCTCTATCGATCTCGTCAAAGGGCAGAAAATTGGCGACGCTCCTACAACAAACAAATACAGCACCTTTACTGGCGGCTTTGGATTAGTCGTCGCAGTGCTGGGCTTGATATCTGTCTTCATAGACGCCATTCCGGCTCTCGTAGTGATGGCCGCGGATGCCCTGAGCGGAGTCTTTCTCCTCGGTGGTGGTATTGTAAGCCGATCGATGATCATACCAAGTACTTAATATTAATAATATGGCAGGCTTTCGCCATTGGTTTACGCGGTGTTGCGTGTAACAACAAGCATGGGGCAGACATCGTGAACAGCGACATCATCAACGGTGGGAGATACAAGAAAAATGGAGACTGGTATTATTCACCTGATGCAACCGACGAGTTCTTGTTGGAGAGGTGCAAGAAGGCAACCGCAGATCAGGCTATGCAATTTGTGACGTTTGGATTTGCGCTGACGACTATTATTCTCGTGTTCCTGGTATGGAAGAACGGTCGTGGAGGCCGACGTACTAACTACGTTTGACCGCTTGGAGGCGTAGTCATAGGTAGATAGCGCTGCCAAAGCTACCATCGAGGCGGAACTTGCTCGCTCCCATGTCAAGCTTGGCAAAAGACTTATGTTTAACGTAGTCGTGTTGAACCTTATCTTCGATGACTTGGATGATGAGAATTCAAAGACATTATTATAGCAGTTCAATACCGCCTCAGGTCCGATGGCAGCCATTTGCACACGACAGTGATGTGAAGGTGTCTGTGACATGGATTTTGAATCAATCTGCACGACAAGCACCCTTTTCACTGTTGCAGGATGGTTTTGCGTATGCCTGAACTGAAGAACCAGACAATGCGCAGTGTATCCTGGTACAATGGACATTTTTGCGCAACGTCGGCAGATGAAAATCTTGCGGCTCCCTAAAGCCGTGGTGCTCTACTATGCGCAAAGTCTAAGTCGATAGGAAAACGGAAATGCCCATTTCGCGCTGGAAGATTCCTTTTAACAAATCAGATTCCTTACGAAAGGATGTTGAGACCACCCCACAGTCAAATACCAGGAAGAGTCGTCATACTCGGCTGATAAGGAAAGGTGTTCACATGGGATTTACTTTAGGAGGCCGGGAACGGAAGAAAGTCCAAGGAGATCAGGACAACCCTCAGCAAGCCGCATAGCGGAGCCGCCATTCAGACCAAAAACATGTGTCGATGTAATTTGATCCGGATTGTAGTAAAGAAGAGAAAGGAAGACAAGCAGAATCGCATCGCGAGAAGAGATTTTTATGGTTGGTGAGGTGTGGGGCCAGTCGCTGTCCTGCCCGCGCTCGCCCTGTCGCCGTTTCTGTTTCTCCGGCTCACGCTGGTCTGTGCTTCACATGAAGCTGGAGCTCCACTTGCCGCCAGAGGCCCTGTCTAGTACCACTACCATGACGACACAGCACATCTTGCCCGAATGGAGGTAGTTGTACACCTCATACCGATGCTGTGATTGATGATGGCAGCAGGAGTTGTCGAATGAGCTTCCAAGGAACGCGCCAAAGTGTGTGTGTGTGCTATGATGACGCGCGCCGCACCAGCATCTTTTTGACCCCCGAGGTCGACATCACTCACCTCGGGTTCAGGGTGGCTGATTGTCACTGTAACATCACAACAATCAGCATCAATCATCTAGTCATTCCACCAAGATAAACATGGCGCCGGTGCCCTTGGAACCCGAAGTGAAGTGGGTTTGGTCCATTGGAATGAAGGCCAACAGTCTAACATGATATTCAGGTACCTGCCTTTGAGCTTGGTGGCTGGCCACGCGCTTGCAGTGGCAATTCTCGGCACCACTGTCGTTCGAAGCCTGTACAGGTCATATCACCACTTGCCGCCATCTCAGGGAACAAGAGCAAGACATGTTCGCCGTTCAGCTCTTGCGCCCTTATTTGCAGGGTTGGCACTCGTTAGCTTGTCTCTTGCAGGCTACTGGGCCTCAAGCTATGCAAAACTCTCATATCGTGTTTGGGCAGACCAGCGTGGGCTTGAAGCCCCAGTTCGGTTTGTTTCATCTTCTGCACTTTCTTTGTCCGCCTTACTCATGGAACCTTAGCTTCTCTGGCGATCATGGAGTCGTACCCAGCGAAAACGCGACCCAAGTTTTCATTGGCCGCTGGCTAAGTGACACTCCAATCCACTTGGACGCTCTCGAGATCATCGCCGAGAAAGCTCGTCGGTTCTGGTGGGGCCAGCAGATCGAGCTCGCAACCATGTCATGGAGCTTGCTGCTGGCCGTCGAAGGCAGACGAAGGAGAATCCCCTCTGTTTGGGCCTACCTCGGACTAGCACACCTTGTCAGCCTTTCATTCGCCCAGAACCTCTTCTATCTCGCATTGCTTCTTGCTCCGGCTCCGACCACTACAGCAGACGACAGCCATCCTGTCTCTACACTAGGACGCATGCGCAAGAGATTCTTACCTGTGAAGCCTGTCAACTGGACGCCACACCCGGCCTTACTCTTGGCATCATTCTGCTTTACTTACGTTCTGATATACTGGGCTCCATCGACAACAGGCACGGCGGCATTTGGCCGCATCGCAATCTTCGGGCGACTTCTGACGTTTGGTCCTATTGTCATCCCCGCCGTCGTTCCAGCTAGTTGGGGCTCAGTATACTCTGATCCTCACGGAGCATATAGCATACTCACCGAACTCTTTCGCTTTGTATCCACAGCGAGTTTCGCCTTCCACGTCAAAGGCACCGCGCTTGCTTTGCTTTACAATGCGCCAAATGCCCACTATCATCGTCATAGCCGGTTCTTACCTTTCGACATAGAGAAACGCTCGACGTGGGAGCGTACAACAACGGCGCTTGGAAAAGTCTTGGGATCGGCATCCGACCATCCTGTTGTAGCTGCTGTGGCATGGGACGTTTTGCTCAGCGGAGTCAGCCAAGGGTTATGGGCGGCTACACGTGTGTTGGATGTGAATGACATTCTAGCCGCCTCTACTCCGTTCGCTCCGAACGATTCATCGAAGGCAAAGCCACAACCCAGACTACTGGGAGGAAGTGACAAAACAAAGCCGGATTCGGAATCGTCCAGCCACACCAACACAGTCTCTACGCGACGCAGGGGTAGTCAACATGCAGAAAAGAGCAAGCCCGCAGAAATGACTATTTCAGAGACGCCTGAGACTAGAAGCACCCGCCGAGGCCATACCCTGAAGCGTACTGCAAACCCCGAGGAGGCACCAGAAGATGCGTATGAGCCGAGCCCTGCGGAAAGCCGCGCTGCTGTCGAAGGCGATGAACTCCCCGACGGCGATGTGGACTGGGAATCTGCAGCGTTGTCTTGGGGTCTCACAGCTCTGGGAGGCCTTGGATCTAGCAGCGCTGGTGTTTTTGGGGCCGAGTGTACATCTCGATGAGCCCTGGTTGGATCAGCAGGGGCACTGGAATTACCGCGCTCACTAGGTAGCACATACTCGAGGTTCTTTGTCTGAGCTTGCACCTACATCTGCACGTCTAAATTGGCTCGACTATGTACTAGGCAGATTTGACGGCGGCCAGGATGGGGTTTGGCAGCCGTCCGGCGGTTGTCAAGACATGGCGGGAATCCAGACCTACAGCGCTAACCGGCCTGGCCGGTACCATCGAGGACGGTTCGACTTTTCTCAAAGAACACAACTTGGGACGGCCAGACTGCAGAACAATGAGTTTAGAGATCGAGTCGAGACCGTCGAAGACCTTAACCCCGCCACGTTGAAGATCATCTGGATCAGAGGAGAGCAGGAAACATCGGAACTCAGTGGCATTACCATCGGCCACAAGCGAGGGAGCTTGACCAAGAGCAATAGCCAGGCCACCAGACCAGGTGTTTTTGGAATGACGTCGCCCCGCATTTGAAGAAGACCCCCGCATAAAGCCGGAGGCGGACGCTGCGCCATCCAAGAAGCCTCCCACTTTGAGCACGTAAGGTAGCATCGGCCTGGACAGTCGATCTCCGGCCCGTATGGTGTGAGTGGTACCTTACCCAGCGCGTTGTTAGTCCATTGGGGAGCTGGCCTGCATATGGCTCACGGGTTGTGAAAGTAGCGGCTAACGAGCAACCCCCAATGATGCAGGGTCCTGGAAAGGTCCTTTGAGCGACACGGATCCCACCGTCTTGGGTCTGCTCAACGGTGCTATCTTTGGGATCGCCACATCCGTTCCCCTCCCATGTTGCCAAGTCTTCTGGCTTTTGTCATGCCTGGTTAAATACCATTCGGCTTCCCTGCCATCATTCTCCTCTTTTAATTCCCTCAGACAAGCCAACAGCCTACAACACCAATATAGAGATACCACATCTCTTCAATATCAGTCTTCACCTATCTGAACATCTCAGATACCCGGCCAAGCAGTCTCTAAGAGTATCAGCCACCGATCTCATCTTCTACTCTCCCATCAAATCACTCCTCAACAGCTCTATATTTCATCATCATCATCAACACTTTCACAATGGCCATCCGCGATCACTTCCGCCGCCGCAAGTCCATCTCCGAGCCTAGCCAAGGAGAGCGTACCAGCTCAGACCCAAAGTCCCCGGCTCTCCGGCTCGCAAAGACATTCGGATGGCGCTCAGCAAAGGAGGAGAAGCCAAAGAAGAAGACCGCCGTCAAGGAGAAGGAGGCCGACCCGCGCGAGAGGCCCTTCAACGAGACCAACCTCAGACACCAGGAGATTCTCAACGGCTTCACCATGACTTTCGGAAAAAGCCAACGCCAGATGAGCCGCGATGCGCGGTCAAGTTATTACAGCATCAACGTCAGCCCCGGCACGTCACGCCACAACAGTGTAGACGTGGACGATAGCCCGCTTCGGATGAACCCTTTGCCTCGCGAGAGCCAGTTCCGGTCCGTTCCCGAGGAGGATGAGAGGTCTTGAGGTTCTCGGCCCGAGAGCTTTCAGCCGCTCTCATCTGAGACATTTTGCCTTCCCATCTTGGGATCGAGAGACAACCGATTTCGGCGTCTCAGCGTTCATTTCCGGCATCGCCTTGGAGTTTTGGATTGAGAATTTCCGGGGAAAAGGTCACAAAGGCCATTGTGTTCGAGCCAAAGTTTTTTAATTTTTATTACCATAATGCGAGCTTGGATTGGGAATGGTTTTTTGCTTACTGTATGAATATGGCAACACTGTTCACTGGGATATAGCAAGATGGCACTGAGGCAGGTGCTACCCTGGCTTCGCGTTCGACGAGACACACGAAAAATTCTACTCTATTGATCATTCATCGTTTCAAGTGGCAATTCACTTCGCGTGTGACCTCTTTCTTGCATAGAGGAAGAGACAAAGAACATGAGGTTTCGATATCCGTACTAACTAGAATATGGTTTGACATCTTACCCCACCGCGAGTTAACAAAGGATTGCTTAATCCGGGCCATTCTCGGAATCGCCTTGCTTGTCTTTTTTTTTTTTTTTTTTTTTTTTTTTTTTTCAAATCAACTGAATCTTCATGAGGTGTTGCCACTCAGATAAGCTTCCTTGTATAGCAAACAGTGAGAACATGGGTCCAAGTCTTGACCGCTGTGATAAATGTCGTTGTGGCCTTACGTTTGCTGTTGTTTTGAAAGTATTTGTAGTTGGACTTTTTAGAGTTCTGTCACCAGTGAGGCAATCCCTGGTGATTATATCATTTTGTTTGTTCTCAGAGTAACACACACGATGTGTTGATTTGCCGAGCAAAAGCTGGTGGCTTGGGAAAAGAATCGTTACCCAGATACGGTCCTCTTATGCGAAACCACAAGGGCAGGCACCTCATTTAAGGTGAGCTTATTCAACTTTAGTAAGTAGATTGGGGATACGATTCCCCTGGACTATCGGCCTGTAACCCGTCCTGCCGCTTGCAATAGATGTCATACATAGGTAGGTAAACATAAACTCACTGTGGCCGAAGATAGTCCTCCTGATCTAGCATTCATAATAGCAGGTACAGAACAGTCTTGATACTCTGTCACTAAGCCCTTTCTTGTTGAGCAGTACATCCTCTTATATAAGTTCTACCCATCCGAATGATCTTATGTTCATCAATAAGTAGAGATTTCCTTGGCCTCTGGCCGACTTGTTGCCCTTCCTCGATGTGAAACTTGAAGCAACTTTTCATAGTGTAGTCATTTTGAGCCTCACTCGGAATATATTAACAAGTACTAGCTAGTTTACTACTAGCCACCTTAGTTTGTGTTTATAAAACGAAACAGAATATTTACATAGCTGAGTTGCTTCATCATATCTGCACCTTACCCATAGATTCCATCAACCCACTCCTACCTACCCTGTCGAACCAGCGACCCCATCGTACCTGCTGAATAGTCGATCCCATCGTGCCTGCCAAAAACAAGCATTACATCCCATCTCAGCTCAATGACCACATCTCTCTCACTTAAGGCCTTTCTCAACTTAATTATTACACCTCAATCACAAAAAAAGCAGGATTGGCTTCTCCCTCCCGTCTTCTTCCACGACAAGGAAGGACAACAGCTTCAACTCACAACGCCCCACCTCCCTTCTACACCCCCGATCAAGTGCCTTCACTCCCACCTACGCATGCGCATCTCACCTCACATTCACATCACATCTATCACCCCGGGACCTCTGAGGAATTCTTTGCTCCTCTATGCCTACTCCTCAGCGTTTAGTGCTACGCTCACCCTACTCCCTCCGGCCCAACCACTTGCGTTCGCACCTACCAAACCTATAGGCACATTTCACCTCACATTCAAAATTCATGTATCATCACCCTTGGGCCCTTTGGGAAATCCATTGCTTCTTTATACTTGAACAATAGCCGAGCGCACACGATACGCTAACCTCCACTTCCGACACCTTCCTCTCGACAGCCCCGTTCGTGCCTTCCTCCGTCTCTTCTAAACAGCCTTGTTTGTACTGCCAACACACGCATCTCACTCATGGGCTTATACTAAATCCACTACACCCGGCACCTTTGAGAAATTCTTCCCCTCTCCACACCTTAACGGAGCCTGAATGCACAGGCTAGACCTCTTGACAGCCTCGTTCGTCCCTTCCGCATACGCACCCCTCTCACAGGGCTTATATTATACCGACTGCGCCCGGGACTCTCAAACAATCACTCCCTTCTTCATACCTCACCAGCTTAGGTATCGACAGAGCCTTCTTCTTCCCTATTTCTCACTGAACCGGGGCTCGCACTACATTATATCTTCTACGTAAGAAATCCTTGAAGAATCCTTTTCTTCTTTACACCTCACCGACGTGAGCATCGACCGTACCCTCTTCCAACATATCACGCCTCACTAGGGGTCACATCACAACACATTTTCTACGCCCGTAGCTTTGGAGATATTTCTTCCTTCTTCACACCCTACACACTTGAGTGCGAAGACAAGGTTGCTCTCTTCCTCAGTACCTCACGCACGACAAAGAGGTAAGCCTTTAGTTTGAGAGTCGACATTCATTTGGCCGAAGATTCCTTTTTTTTTTGCCATTCCCAACTGTGCTCACGTATAGGGAATCCTGATACCCTAGTCTACAATACACATCAGTCTCTACAATACACATCAGTCGTACCTCATAACCTACTACTTTCCTGCTAACACTGATGCTGCAGGTCGGCTTGACAAGTACCGCAAGTTGTGCATCGTCTTCACGCAGGGGCGATCATTCACGAAGCCAGCATCGACGGCTAACCAAATCCACAAGATCGGCCCTGAACTATGTTTCGATTTACGGCATCTCCCTAGGGATACTCTCCTATCAAAGACACCCCAGAAGTTTCTCATCAAGATTGCCTCAGAATCGTATAAAGACCTCTATGCCTTTTCTTTCGCTTGCATATAGCGAAGATCTGAATCATCCCTAATCGGCTATTCATTATAACTTCAACCCAGTCCATACAAAAGCTGGACCGCTTCAATTCGGAAGCAGCGACAGTCAGTATCCCTTCCAAACCCAGGCTACTCCTTTCCGGCAATACATCTCCAGTATCTCTCCGCCTGGCTTACTACACCGAGCATACATCATCAAAGTGTTCGAAAAAGGGCACCCTGATTGTCAAATATCGTACACAAGCAAAGGAAGAGGAATAACAAGCGCATTGACAAGATGGCCTTGGGTATGGACTCGTGGTTTGTCTTGAAGTGTCGGAACATCCACAAGCGCTTCGAGCTGTGCCACAACACTCAGGTGATGCTGCAAGCCCTGGAAGACACCAAGACAGCCACCATTGATATGGCTGAGCTTGGCCGGATGCTTCGTCTGAGCCCCAAGAGACGTCAAGCCATGATCGACACTATTCGAAAGTGTACAGAGAGAATGACAAAGCAGAGCAGAGACAAGCAAGACGAGACAAGAGAATGCGCCTTGCTCATTCACATGTGCACCGAAGTCTTGGAGATTGCCAGTAAGTACTT